ATCAGGCAGGGGAGTAGAAAAAAACCATACAATAGAGATTTAAGGTATATTTTGATTTGTTAGAAGAAACTATGTCACAATTTTAAAGAGAGAACAACTTATATATATATGCCAAAAATACGGGTAACTACTATGAAGGGATAGAATATGACTCTAAAAATGAAAAATAAAAATGTTTTTTAAAAAAGGGAGTGATAAGATGATGGTTGAAAAAGGGAAAAAGAAAAATTAAAAAAAAAAAAAGACAGTTAAAAATTTAGTTTGAAAGACTAAAGAATCATGGTAAAAAAGCCGTGAATTCTACGTGCATTATTCCCCTAGCGCTGGAGTTCTGCCATTCTCATTGATCGGTAAACTTGGTCTTGGCCGGCTGTTCTCGCTGATCTTCTGGGGAGGGGCCTGTTGCCGTGGTTTCCAAATGTCTCTGCCGGAGGCGGAATTGCCCGCCCTTGCCCCCTCCCGGCTGAGTAATCTGCCCGGGTTTGCTCTCCGGGGCTTTTGTTCCCTGCGAGCTTTCCGTACAGCTTTGGAGGCCGAGAGTGAACATGGCGGCCTCCCAATCTCCGCCCCGGAGGAGCCGAGAACTCGGGGCCCGCTCCTCAGGGAGCCCCCAGAGAAAAGCCGCCAGTCACTCCCGTCTCCCCGCTCTCCGGCCGCACTCAGTGCTCACCCGGCCTGTGACCGCGCGTTTCTATCTCTGGCCCCCGACCCCGGGTGGAGTCTCCAAACCCAGCAGATCCCCGCAGTGCGCTCCTGCGCGGCTCCTCCCGGGGGAGGAAGGGGAGTCTCCCCGGATCTGCCGCTTGTGGGGTCCCTGCTGGAGGAGCAGGGGCCCGACTGGGCCGCGGATCACGGTTTATGGCCACCCTGAGCTGAGAGCCCGCGCCTGGGCTCCACCTCTGCAGCCGGCTTCCCTGCTCCGATACCTGGGAGCTCTGCCGCACTCAGGCGCCCCCGGTCTTCCTGTGACCCCGAGGGTCCTGAGACCACACTGTCCCGGAGGGGTCCACCCCCCGCTTAGCCACCAGAGTGACGTCCCTCGGCGGAGCTGACTTTTAAAAGTTGCGATTTTGTGCTCCGCGGCTCTATCACTTGCCAGAAGCGCCGATGGAGGCCCCTCCCCCGCCATCTATCCTCCCGAATATCATCGGCTCGGATTCACTTCACTGCACGTCCTACCTTCCAGAAAGTGGTCGCTTTTCTGTTCAGAGTTGTTGCTATTCTTTTCTTCGATCTCCTGTTGAGTTCGTAGGTGTTCAGAATGGTTTGATCCCTATCCAGCTGAATTCCTGAGACCAGACGAAATCTAGGTCTCCTGCACCTCCGCCATCTTGCTCCGCCCCCCGAGAATGGTCTAGTTTAATTCTTCTGCATGTGGTTGTCCAGTTTTCCCAGCAAGATTTATTGAAGAGACTGTCTTTTTTCCACTGGATATTTTTTCCTGCGTTGTTGAAGATTAGTTGACTATAGAGTTAAAGTTCCATTTCTGGGATATCTATTCTGTTCCATTGATCTATGTGTCTGTTTTTGTGCCAATACTATACTCTCTTGATGACTACAGCTTTGCAGTATACCTTGAAGTCAGGCATTGTGATGCCCCCAGCTTTGGTTTTGTTTTCTAACATTTCCCTAGCAATTCAGGGTCTTTTCTGGTTCCATACAAATTTTAAGATTGTTTGTTTCTGCTCTGTGAAAATGTCAATGGTATTTTGATAAGGATTGCATTTAAAGTGTAAATTGCTCTGGGGAGCATAGACATTTTTATATTCCAGATAAAGGGCTGGTATCCAAGATCTATAAAGACCTTATCAAGCTCAACACCCAAAAACAAATAATCCAGTCAATATATGGGCAGAAGACATGAACAGACACTTCTCCAAAGAAGACATTCAAATGGCTAATAGACACATGAAAAAATGTTTCAGATTTCAAATTATACTAGCCATCAAGGAAATACAAATCAAAACCACAATGAGATACCACCTTACACCAGTTAGAATGGCAAAATGAATAAGACAGGAAACAACAAGTGTTGGCAAGGATGTGGAGAAAGGGGAACCCTCTTACACTGTTGGTGGGAATGCAAATTGGTACAGCCACTCTGGAAAACAGTATAGAGGTTCCTTAAAAAGTTAAAAATAGAGCTACCCTACAACCCAGCAATTGCCCTACTAGGTATTTATCCCAAAGATACAGATATAGTGAAAAGAAGGGGCACATGGACACCAATGTTCATAGCAGCAATGTCCACAATAGCCAAACTGTGAAGGGAGCTGAGATGCCCTTCAACAGATGAGTGGATAAAGATGTGATACATATATACAATGGAATATTACTCAGCCATCAGAAAGGATGAATACCCACCATTTGTCTTGACATGGATGGAACTTGAGGGGATTACGCTAAGTGAAATAAGGCAAGCAGAGAAAGACAATTATCATATGGTTTCACTCACATGTGGAACATAAGGAATAGCATGGAGGACCACAGGGGAAGGGAGGGAAAACTGAACAGGAAGAAATCAGAGAGGGAAACAAACCATGAGAGACTCTGGACTCCTGGAAACAAACTGAGGGTGAGGGTTACAGAGGGAGGGGCTTGGGGGGATGGGGTAACCAGATGGTGGGTATTTAGGAGGTCATGTGTTGAGATGAGCACTGGATGTTATATGCCACTAAGGAATTGTTGAACACTACATCAAAAACTAATGATGCACTATATGCTGGCTAACTGAACATAATAAAAAAGTAATAATAAATAAAAATAAAAAATAAAGGTTATGCTGTGGGAAAAAAAAGAGAGAGAGCACAGGCAGTAAAGTCTGACATCAGCCACAGCAACATTTTTCCAGATATGTCTCCAGAGACAAGGGAAACAAAAACAAAAATAAACTGTTGGGAGTACATTAAATAAAATGCTTCTGTACAGCAAAGGAAACAATCAACAAAACCAAAGGACAATCACTGAATGTGAGTAGGTATTTCCTAATAACATATCTGATAAAGGTTAGTATCCAAAATATATAAACAGCTTGGGCAACTCAACACCAAAAGAGCAAATAATCCAATTAAAAATGGGTAGAAGACATGAGTAGATATTTCTCTAAAGAAGACAGTTAGATGGCCAACAGACACAAGAAAAAATGCTCAACATCTCTCATCATCAGGGAAATGCAAATCAAAACCACAATGTGATATCACCTCACACCTGTCCCATTGGCTAAATTCAAAAACACACAAGAAACAAGTGTTGTAGAGGAAGTGGAGTAAAGGGAACTCTTGTACACTTGGTGGGAATGCAAACCGGTGCAGCCATGGTGGAAAACAGTATGGAGGTTCCTCAAAAAATTAAAAACAGAAATACCACGTGATCCAGTAGTTGTACTACTGGATATTTACCCAAAGAATGTGAAAACAGTGAAAAAAAAGAAACATTCACCCCAGTGTTTACTGCAGCATTATTTACAATAGTTCATGTATGGAAGCAGGCCAAGTGTCCATACATAGAGGAATACAGAAAAAAAAAACATGGTACATTCAATGGGATATTACTCAGCCATAAAAACAACAGAAATCTTGCTATTTGCAACAACATGTACAGAGCTAGAGAGTATGATGGTAAGTGAAATAATCAGTCAGAGAAAGACAAATACCATATGATTTCTTCATATGTGGAATTTAAGAAACTAACAAAAGTAAAAGAAAAAAGTGACAAAGGAAAAAAACAGACTCTTATCTATAGAGAACACACTGCTGGTTCCCAGAGGGGAATTGGGGGGGATGGGGGGAAATGGGTGAAGGGGATTAGGATTACACTCGTACTGATGAACACTGAGTGGTATATAGAATTGCTGAATCCCTATACTTTACACTTGAAAGTAATATAACATTGTATGTTAACTATCCTGAATCTTAAATTCAGAACACCGAAATTTATAGTTTTTGGTTTATGTGTTTTTCTTTTCTAAAAGCTCCTTTAACGAAGTGATTGCACTGTGAATACTGTATTTTCATGAGTGTAGCATGGTGCTTGGATCCAGGCAGGTGCTAAGTGACTGTTTGGTGAGTGAATCTACGTTAATGCAAGTCAGATGGAGGGGGTATTCTTCAGATGTTTCAGTGTCCTGTGGTTTCTGTGATGGCTACTTGTTTTCCCCTAAGAGTAATGGTGAACTGGTGGTTGCTGATACTTTTACACAGGCAATCGTGGGGGAATCTGGACAAGCAAATAGAGCAACTGTTAAAAAGAAAACGTTGGGCCCAAAATGGCACCTTGGGCCAGACCAAGTCCCTAAACCTTACTTAATCCCTAACCTCTCCCTGAAATGTTCACCAGTCAGTTAGAAATTCTCTGGTCAGCACCAGTGAGGTACTCTGTCACATGGACCCTCTCCACCCCCAAGGAGGGGAGATCATCTGCATGGTAAGACCCCTGCTCTCCTAATTAAGGGAAGGTGACCTTCCCTGAAACACTCCTTTCTCTTCTTTGCCAACTTCCTTGCTACGAAATCTTCCCATTTGCAACCGTCTTTAGAGCTCCCCTCTACCTGCCAGATGGGATGCTGTCTGATTCTTGAATCACTTAATAAAACCAATTAGATCTTCAAATTTACCTTGTTGATTTTGTTTTTTAACATAAACAGTGAGAAGTCAGATATGTGAAGGAGCTGGGGTGTGAGTGAGATGGGGTAGGAAATACACGGGGAGTGTCACAGGGCAGGAGGGATAGAGTGAAAGCAGGTTCCAGGGCTGGGTGCTGGGGATCCTTGTGTTTTCATGGGTTACTGTCTGGATGAGAAGAAAACGTAGGAGAGGTAGGGTCAGTTTCCATGCTACACAGGACTCGTTATGTAGCATCTAAACTAGGGGATGTGGAGCGGGATGGAAGCTGGTGACGGGAAGAAACTGTAAGTCAGGGAGGAGAATCGGACCAAGAGGGGAAGTGAGAGTCTGAGTAAGTGTCCAGGGTTCAGGGAGGAAACATTTGCATTGTCGCAGAGACTCAGGGAAGGCTGGTGTGTGGAGAAGGAAGTCAGAAGAGAGGGGCTGTGTGTGGGGTAGGTTTGTTAGAAAAGGTCAAAGACCAACTTTGTAAGAGACAGAAAGAACATCTGCAAATACAATGCTGTTCCTGCAACTTGTGTTGCTGGTGGTTCTCCTGCCAGGTGGTGACAGTGAAGATGGTGAGAACTCTGGCCCTGCCCTGTGGGTGCACAGTGTGTTGTGTGTGTGTGTGTACATCTCTTTATGTGTCTGTGTCTGTGTGTTTCTGCCAGTCTGTGTGTGTTTGTGTAAGTCTGTGTGTTTGTGATGTGTGTACATGTGCTTGTGTGCATTTGAATATGTGTAATATGTACGTGTGTATAGATGCCTTGTGCGTCTCTGTGCACGTGCGAGTGTGTATGTGTGTGGGTATGTGTCTGCGTGTCTGTTTGTACATGTGCATATGTGTGTGTATATGTGTACATCTCTGTGTGTGTCTGTATGTGTGTATTTGTGTCTCTGTGTGTGTGCACTCATGGTCTGAGTTCCCCAGTGCATAACTGTGGAGGGACAGTGTCAGCCTGGTTCCTTCTTGAGCATCCCTGACCCCAGGGCCCTGTGCTCTTCTGAAGGTTGGATATGAAGCTCGGTGATCTGGAGCAGCAACTGTCTCCTGAGACAACTACGGCTTCTCTGGCCTCCAGATTTTGGTTCCCCACCCTCTCACCTTCTTCTCCAATCTCTCTCCTTCCCAATGCTCTCCACATTCAATGTTTATCTGTCCTTTCTCCACAGCCTTCCAGGAGCCAATCTCCTTCCCATTCCTCCTGACCACATCTTTTTACAACTGTTCCTGGACACAAAAGCAAGGCTCAGCTTGGTTGGATGAGCTGCAGACTCATGGCTGGGACGATAAGACTGGGGCTCTCATTTATCTGCAGCCTTGGTCTAAAGGCAACTTCAGCAACAAGGAGCTGTTGGAATTAGAAGAGTTATTCTACACATACTGCATTTGTCATCCTTCAGTATATCATAACCATGTCAGTGAATGGCAGCTTGAATGTGAGTTCAATTCATTTCAGGGGTGGGATGGAGGTGTCAGGTATGTGTGTATCTCCTTGAGTTCCTTCTTTCTCTAGGAAATGAACGGCACTGTCTTCTGGACCTCACCTCTCTCTATCTGAAAATTGAATCACACCCATCTGGGCAGGGGGTAGAAACCAGACTGTGATTCTTGAAAAGCTTCACATTTTCTTTAGCTTCCCCCTCCTCTCATTGACCACAGGCTCTGCTCTCCTGTCTCCCACTAGTGTCTCCCATGACCACCCCTTTCTCTGGCCTCCAACAAGGCACCCTTGCTCCCTCACTTGTGACTGACTTTGAGCTGTGCTTTCTCCCCATTCAATCCCAGCAGCGATGTCTATTTGTTCCTTGTACCCCACTGCACTCCCTTCACCCTAGATTGTTTTTACCCCAGCTCTCCTGCTGAGTCATTCCCTATTCTCTGCCCAAACCCTCCATGTCTCTCTTCCAACATTCATTCCCTCCTCAATCATTCACCTTTGCCTCTGCATGCTGCAACTACCTCTTCCCCTTTGTCTGAACCTCCCCTCAGGTCAGACTTTGCTCCATTGCCTCCAATCCCCAAATTTACCCTTCTACATCCAGCATCCTTGGCTTGCACTTACCTCATTTCATCTCCTTCACTCCCTCTGTATTGTAACTCACAGTCTCTCTTCCCCAGATCCCTTCCAGGTACAGCTGGTGTTAGGCTGTGATTCCCACTTTGGAGAAGCATCAGTAGGCTTCATGCGGATTGCTTATCAAGGATCAGATCTCATGAGTTTCCAGAACACATCATGGTGGCCATCTCCAAAGGGAGGAAGTAGGGCTCAGCAGGTCTGCACAGCATACAATCAGTACATTGTCAGTGAAATAGTACACAAACTCCTCAGCGACTCCTGCCCCCGGTTCCTGTTGGGTCTTCTTGATGCAGGGAAGGCATATCTCCAGCGACAAAGTAAGTCCCACTCCCTCCCTCCATGAATTGTCTACTCTGCACTCAAATTTGTACTATTCTTTCAAATTCATGGTAAGAAGGATTCAAGAGGCAGAGGGGATGATGGTGATGGGTCTAGAGGTAGAAAGACACCTATCTAAAGTGATGTGAATATCTACCCTCTCAGTCTGTGAATTCCTGTCCTGTCTCTGCAGTGAGGCCAGAGGCCTGGCTGTCTACTGGCCCCAGTCCTGGTCCTGGCCATCTGCTCCTGGTGTGCCACGTCTCTGGCTTCTACCCAAAGCCTGTGTGGGTGATGTGGATGTGGGGTGAGCAGGAGCAACAGGGCACACGGCGAGGTGATCTCCTGCCCCATGCTGATGGGACATGGTATCTTCAGACGTCCTTGGATGTGAAAGCCAGTGAGGCAGGTGGCCTGTCATGCCGAGTGAGACACAGCAGTCTAGGAGGCCAGGACATGGTCCTCTACTGGGGTGAGAAAGACTGGGGTCCAGCTGGGAAAGAGGGTAGTGGCCCTCCAGCAAAGCAGGATAGCCAGATGAAAAATTTGGGTGGCTAGACCAAAAGTGACTAAAAAAATTGGTAATCCAAGAAATGGAAGAGCTGAGAGTGAAGTCTTGAAAATATGGGAGGATGCATTGGATTGGATGAAGGGTCCATCTCTGAGGAGGGATGGGAGAAGTGAAAAGAGGAAGGACGGTTGGTGAGGCAGAGGTTGACAAGAGCAAGGAGGACAGGGAGGTGCAGTTCAACCCAGGGTAGATGGGAAGTGATACCTTCTGTGCACCGAACCCACAGAGCAGCCCCACTCCGTGGGCTTGGTCTTCCTCGCGGTGACAGTGCCCCTGGTGCTTCTGGCAGGTCTGGCGTTGTGGCTCTGGAAGCGCTGGTGAGTCTCTGGAGCCACCTTCCTCCTCTTTCCTGTGTGTCTTCCCACCTTTCAGTCTGTCTTCAACCCTCCTGCTTCCAGTGGCCTCCCCCCTGCTGTTCTCACCTCCACCTGCTGCAGAGTGACTCCTCCTCTGTTCCTCCCAGGAAAACACACTGGAGACCTCAGTGCACCGGCTTCCCTGTGGAGTGAGATCCCAGCAGCCCAGGCTCCAGTGCTTACCTAAACCCAGCTCAATGGTGACGTCCTTGCAACTCTGTGTGTGTAATTTTATCTTTCATTTTTGCTTAGTGATCAGTTGTCAATATAAGCTCAGTGTAATTTAGGGTGATTTGTTGTTCTGACTTGGTTCTGGAACTTAAGTGTCAAAATTTAACTTGGTGCAAAATGATGTCCCAGCACCTCCATGGGTCACAGGCATCAGATGTCACTTCCTCCAGTGAGCCCTCCTTCATTCAGAAGTGGGAGCAGTCTGTCTGGTGAGAATTTCCACCACCTTTTCGGACACTTTGACAATTCTATTCCTGACCCCTGGTGCTTGTTTTCCCCAGTCAGGACCCTTATCCCTTCTAATTCTTAGGATTCTTGAGGGAAAAGTCCATGTTTTCTTAATATTTGTATACTTGGAAAGGTGTCTCACCTGCATGGAAAATGTCCTCAATAAAAATCTGTGTTGAATTTATGCTAAATACAGAGATTTTTCTTCTTTTTCTTCCTGACATGTTTGTAGCAGTTGAGATGTTTGATGCTCTTCTTATTAAAAGTCTTGCCACCTAGCCAAGGGAGTTCACAGTTTCCCTGTTCCTGTTGACATCTCCAGGCCTCTAAGTAGAAACAAGTTTTTTTTGTGAAGATTTATATTATTTAAAGATTTTTTTTTTTTTTTTGACAGAGAGAGACAGCGAGAGAGGGAACACAAGCAGGGGGAGTGGGAGAGGGAGAAGCAGGCTTCCCGCCGAGCAGGGAGCCTGATGCGGGGCTCGATCCCAGGACCCTGGGACCATGACCTGAGCCGAAGGCAGACGCTTAATGACTGAGCCACCCAGGCACCCCGATTTGTATTATTTAACTACACAAACCTATTGGATGGATCTGTTGCTCCAAGTATTCTGAATTAAATAGAAAGGCAGGATTCAGCCTTCTTGATGTTTGTTGGACTTAGAGAAGCAGCAGAACTGTCACCCTGGGACTTTTTAAAAACATAAGGTCTTGTCCTCAGCTGACTTCCTGAATCACAATTTGCATTTTACCAAAATCAGCAGGGAGATTCACAGGTGCATAAATGTGATGCCTGAGAGGTAGCAGTGCTGTGTGTCCCTGAAGGGAAAAGAGACACTCCAGGAAAAAGAACAGGAGTGTTTTGGTCAAGAATGAGTGGGGATCCAGCAAGGACCATGCATACAGTGCCTCCTGGCATTCTTGGCTGCTGTGTTGCCATCCTGAGGACATGGAGTCAGGGACAGTGAGCCACTGTCCCTGGGGGAGATGCGGGGTACAGATTCTGGGAGCCTCTGTTCACAACACTTGCCACCTGATGACTACCCAGCCTTGTTTCACGTGTGTTCCTGTTTAAAGACAGCTTCTTGGGATGCATGGGTGGCTCAGTTGTTTAAGTGTCTGCCTTTGGCTCAGGTCATGATCCCAGGGTCCTGGGATCGAGCTGTAGTCCAGCTCCCTGCTCAGCTTTTCCCTCTCCCTCTGCCCCTCCCCCTGTTTGTGCTCTGTCTCTCTCTTTCTCCCTCTCTCTCAAATAAATAAATAAAATATTAAAAGATAAAGATAGCTTCTTTAATACGTATGTATTTGTAAATAATTTATTGTACGGAGTACTTCCCCACACTTAAACACCAGCTCGGAAGTGTGCAACATTTCCCAGCTCGGGTACTGTGATTGCCAGGGTCTTTGGCTTTCAGCCCCACAGCTGTGCTGCCCAAGATGGTTTTACAGACTAGGAAACAGTCATCATCTCATGAATCCAAGAACAAAGCTCCTTTTCCCCTTTTTCTTGGAGTCATCATGCGGTCATCAGAGCCTCCTAGATGTTACTTTAGCACTTTTTGGTGTGGCTCCACATTGCTGTCATGAATGTCCTGTTCCTTTCCTGGATTTCCTGCACTGTTGACTCATTACCACTGAACTCAGTACCCACAGCTCTGCAGCAGGAGCCTGAGTGGGCCTCACCTACACAGGTGTTTTGTCATGAGGCACATCCCACCTTCTTCTGCTTAGGATACCAGTTAACCCTGCAGCTCTGGGCTTCAGGGCCATTTTAAACACTGAAATCACCTAGAAGACCACGGAAGTGCAGAAAATATGGCACCAAATGGACCATGAATAGGACACATGTTTACAGTGTGGGAATTAACACAGGAAGGCAGAGGGGCACTTAGTTCAACCTTGGCTTGGGACACCTATGGTGGTTGCACTCTACGTGTCCATGAATAGTGGTGAGGGCCTGTGTCTGGGGGTTACAAATCAATGTCAGCAGGTAGGCCAATCGGTACAGACAGACTCCGAGAATAGTGAAGATGGACCTTCTGGGACTGATGACCCCCGTGGCAGGATGAGTGGAGATATCCATAGCTAGACCTCAGTTACTCTAGTTTCATTAATTAACTCAACAAACCATTCTCAAACACTGACCATGCAGCAGGGACATTCTGAGTGTCAAGTCATGGGGAGGAAAAGGTCTTCCCTGTCTTCAGAGCTTGAAAATTTTACTTCCTGGTTCAATTGTGGTTTTCATTGTTCTTTTTAACCAGTTTGTTAGTCAGCAACTTATGTGGGTTGAACTAGGGGACAGGGATTTAGTTCTATTTTTCTTTTTTTAGGGCTGAGAGTGGGACCCAAGACTGAAAAATGTCCAGAGGGGCCATGTGCAGGCCCCAGCCCTACACGTGTGGACACTTCTGGAAAATAACGTTGAGATGGGAGAGGTGGCAAAGGTGAAGATACGGGAATGGGGAGAGCAAATCATGGGGACTTCTGCAATATCCCCACCTGAATCAGACTGCTTGGCTGTTTCTCTAACTTCCAGTCCACCTTGTCACCCTCTCATGGCCACCATGTGGATTTTGGATCTTTGACTTCGTCCTCATGTGTAGCCTTGGGCTCTGATCAGCCTGAGGCCATCAGGAGAAAGCATCCTTGTCAATGTGACATGTTGAAGGATGGGCAGGTAACTGGCAGGTGAGGCCAATCATCAGACAGATGCCATTTGCATCACCCAGAGTGATGGTTCAGGGCCAGGAACCTGCTCCAGGTGGCACAGGTCCCACACAGCCTGATTCTTATGGAGGATGGAGGGAAAAGAGATGCGTTCTCTTGTTCTGGATGATAAGGTCAGGGTGTGAAGCCTGAAATAAGTACAATCAATTTTCAGCATTAGAGAAGCAAGCTGAGGATGAAGCCTGCATGCAAGAAGGCAGAGAAATTGTATACATGAAATTTGCCAAGAGGGTAGATCCCAAATGTTCTCGCCTCCTGAAGAAAGAAAAACAAAAGAAAAGAAAAAGAAGAGTTCTGGATGTGAGGTGGTGGCCGAGTTAACTGGCCTGGTTGTGGGCATCATGTCACCATGTACACATACACCAAACTTCTAATGGTTACTTCATTTTATGTTTTTAAAAGAAAATGTCAATTAAAGTATTCCAACATGAGATGAATGCTACCTAAAATATTAATTTTCATGATTTGCTTCAAATCAAGTTTCTTGACCAATTCTGCATTTTCCTTCTGAAATGCTACATGCCCTCCCTGAAGGCACTGCAAGTAAGGACATGAGCATTCAGGTGCAGTTCCATGCATGCTCCATGTGCACCAGACTCCCATGGTTCTTCAGGCCGTCCTCTCTGAGAAGTTGTCGGAAGACTTTCCTCAGAAGGACTTTTGTTCATGTTACATCACAGGCTTGGCTGCACCTGTTAGAGCCCTCGAGGGTCCACATGGCCTGTGGTGCCCCCCAGCCTTCCTCCCTGGGAGCCTGGAAGGCTGCACACTATCTATAGGTCCAATGGTCATTTGTCATCATACTCCAGTGATGCCGAGAACAGCAGCAATAACAAAACCAAGGCATCAAAAAAGTGAAGGCAGACACACAGACTCACGGAAGGTGCTGGAGCCCCAATCACTCTGGGCTCCCCAGTTCCATCAGCCAGTACATTCCCCATATGGTTTAAGCTCTACATGGTGGACTTCTATCCTTAGTGACTGGAAGCTCCCCTCTGATGGACGTGGACATGGCCTCAGGGGGACACTGGGCTAATGTCTCTCTTCCTTGCAACGTTCCTCCTCAGTTCCCTCTTTCTTTCCCTGGATTCTTGAAAATATTCCTCTATTCCTTTCTTGTCTGTTTGCTTTTTTCTTCATGTGTCCTCATCTTGTGACACTCTTACCCTGTCTTGCGTGTTAACCCTGCCATCTGGATCAATCCCTGTCATGGATGTTTTCATGGATTTCTAACAAACCACTGGTCAGGAATTGAGGTGCTGGGTCTGTTGCTGATTAGTGACTGGCAGAAATTCATCCTCCAGGGTTTTCGTAGAGACCAAAGGACAAGCTGCACCAGCACATGATAAATCGGGAAGTGTTGTGGTAATGACAGTTAAATATTCAACGTGCAAGAAATTTTCTGTAGATTTCTTCCTGATACAATATGTCCATTCATTCTTTCATTTCATCATGTATTCATTCAGCTTTTCCTATTTTTATGGTAAATATATTCTCTGTGAGTGGTACCACTGTGTATGAGAGGCAGCTCTGTGTCCAGATATTTAAGATGCAATGAATAATCTCTTCCTCCAAGCTTGTTCCTTTTTTGATGTTTGCATTTAATCACCCAGAGGCTAACTTCAGAAATCTTTGTAGGTTTTCCATCCCAGCTTTTTTGTCTTTGCCAAGTTATTCTCTACAAAATCTCTGAAAACTGTTTCTTCCTTTCCCTATGGTGGGGCTCATGAACGTCCACATGGGGTGTGGACAGAGCTTTCCTCTCTCCCTGCAAGCATTCCTGTTGGTTTCCTAAACAGAGGCTCTACCTCAGCCACAGTGGGCTCGCATTTAAGGGATGGAAGTGTCCACTGGGAGAACCTCCTCATGGAAGGTTCTAGACTATAGTCTAGAGGCCAGGTGATTGGATATAGGAGAAAGGAGAAACCAGAACTTTCTGGATCTGGCAGTTGGAAGGAGGGGCAGTCTTGTCTGAATCCATGGGCTGACAGGGAGCAGGTGAGAGAGTGATGGTGGCCACTCCCGCTCTGCAGATGTGGCAGGTTCTGGGCATTGTGCCCCCACTCTGCATCACTCTCTTGACTGCTGGACATAAAAGTAATATGATCAAGTTGAAAGGTGAGATATTTTAAAATGTGAGGTTGGGTTGAATAGTAAAAGTATGTTAAGTTAGTTAGTATGTGATGTTTTCCTAATTTATTCATTAGATCCTGACTTTGTTCTAAACTTGTTAATGGCATGTAAGAGCCATTATTATTATTATTATTATTATTATTATTATTATTATTATTATTATTTATTATGTTATGTTAGTCACCATACAATACATCATTAGTTTTTGATGTGGTGATCCACGATCCATTGTTTTCGTATAACACCCAGTGCTCCATGCAGTATGTGCCCTCCTTAAGCCATTTTTTTTTTTTAGGACATCCAGACATGTGACTAGATGGCTACAGTCAGCTTTGTACATGAGACAAAAATTCCCTCATCATTATGTGATCACATTTATGAATCTTTATGCTTACTATTTGTAATAATTTCATTATGAATCCTTTAAGTTTTAATTATTTTAATTGTTGTGGTCACCTTAAAAAAATCATTTTCTTATTCTCACATGAGAGGGAGTTTACTTGGCCAAGTCCAGAGCAAGTTGCAAGTGTCCAGGGAATTTCTCTGTTCTAGAGAGATTAAAAATGAACTTGAGAGCAAGGATGAGTACTGCAGAGAAAAAGAAGGGAAAGGACATTTCTTCTCAAATGAGGGCTGGACACGTCTGCACACAAATGCATGCTTCCTCATTAGCAAGAAGGAAGGAGAAGCCAACCTAGGGCATGTATCAGCACAATTAGTACTAGCCTTTCTTGCAGTGAAATCCACTTTCTGTGTGACTTTAGTTTGGGGCTAGGTACACGCATTGGTGAATTTGATCATTGCTATGGTCTCTACATTTCAGAAATAATTTGCTTATGCTTTGTCCCCTTTTCTGTGGTGACTTGTAACTTGAGTCCTTCAGTATTTTTAATGGGATGCAGACCTTAAGGGACCATGAACAAGGTGTGTATCTGGCCTCACACCCGTCTGTTTCTGCATTTGTTCAGTTTTAAATATTCCAGACTATTAGACAGTGGTCACTAAGGACTGGTTTTCGCAGTCTTATTGACAGGTATTGCTTTTACATTGTTGAGTACTTATTCTCTTTTTCTGGATCAAAATGATTGTGAAGTGACAAGTATTGGGAGAATTTACAGCTTCAAAAGCATTTATTTGTAAGCAAGACGGACTAAAAACATATGAGTTAAGATTATAATTAAGAAGCTAGAAAAAAGACAAAGTCAGTAAAAATCTAGAAGGTAAAAAATTCTTTAAAAGCACTAAAAGGTAAAAAGAAAGAACAAAACAAACAAACAAACAAAAGGATAAAAGTGACTGACAACACCAAAGATGGCCTTTTGAGAAAATTAATAAAAATATAACACTTCTCTCAGAACTGATTGAAAGAGTAACAAATATGAGAAAGTGGACATGTTACAGGAATGGCATATAGTTTGAATAAGAACATGTTATGATTTATATCAACACACTTGTTATAGATAAAAGTTTATCTTAAAAAATCCTAGAAGAGGGAGAAAGTCTGAATGTACCATGCTAAGGAATAGGAGGGAGGGTCAGAGTTCCTGCTAGTTGCGCAGGGTCCTAGGTACAAACTAGAGGCGCAGCAGGTAATTACACTCCAGATACTTTGTTCCAGGCAGAGAAAAGGATAGGAAAGAATCCCAACTAATTGTCCAATGCAAAATTGTCATGACACCAAAGCCAGCAAGGCTTTTTCCAGAAAAAAAATAAAACAATTATTAAAATAGTGACTATCTGCTCACCTCATTTATGCATACTTACAGGGAAATTAGGTATATAGACTCAAAATATTTGCAAACAGAAACCAGAACCAGATGAAGTGGGATTATCCATAGAATGCAAGGACTGTTTACCATTAAAAATCTCTTAATAGTATCACTTTAACAGATTAAGAAAATAAAGGCATATAATCATCTCCAGAGGTACAGAAAAAGGCATTTGATGTATTTAAATGTCACCTCTGATAAAACCTGCCAACCCAGAATAGAGGGAAACATAGCTGCAAACAGCCTGTATGACACATATTTGATTCTAAAGGTTGAAAAACATTCCAGTGAATCAAGGACAAGATGCTGACCCACTGGAATCCTCATGCCTCTGTAGAATACTACAAGCCCTTCTCAATCCAGCAAGGCAAGGGAAATAAGGAGGCATGAAAATAGAAATTAAAGAAAATATTATTATTAATGCAGATCATATGATTATATGTAAGAAAATAAAAAATTAAATATTGGGAGTAATCAGAGAGTTCAGGAACTTATCTAGATAAAAAATTTAACATGTAAATAAAAATTGTAAGGATTTCAAGAGAATAAGTATCTTTTTTTTTTTTTGAGATAATATGATTTCTACCTAGAAATTAGTGGAGTAAAAGCAAACAATTAGACCTAACATAAAAATGTAGCAAGTTCTTTTTTTAAGAAAATATTTTATTTATTTATTATTTATTTATTTGTGAGAGAGAGAGATTGAGACAGAGAGTGCAAGCGGGGAGGAGGGGAGAGGGAGGGAGAGAGACAAGCAGACGCTACACTGAGCAGGGAGCCCGATGCAGGGCTCATTCCCGGGACCCTAAGATCATGACCTGAGCCAAAACCGAGAGTTGGATGCTTAACTGGCTGAACTGCCCGGGTGCCCAAAAATGTAGCAAGTTCTTTAGGCACAAAATAAATATTAAAAAATCAACAGCACTTTTTAATACTAGCAAAAAGAGCAAGTAAGATAAAATTAGATATCATTTATAATAACAACACAATCTATAAAACAGCTAAGAATTAGCTAAAGAAAGAATATGAAAGAATTCTACAGAGAAATTATAAAAGCTACTAAAGATCATAAAAGTATCTCTAATTATTGGAGTTACATAAATGGAGTTATTTATAAAAAATTATAATTCTCTTTAAATTATTCTATAACTTCCGTAAATTCCTAATTAGAGTTCCAGTTGGATTTCTGAAGGTACATAGTAAGCTTATTTTTTATATTATATAGTAGAATAAATGACTACAAATATCTAAGTCATTTTTGAAAGAGTAGAGCAAAGACTTATTGACAATGGAATAAAGTTTTACATGCAAAAGACAACACTACAAAATTAGTAGCATATAACAAAGCAGAATATTTTTATGACCCATTGGTGGGGAATTATTTCTTACACTAAGTTCCCAGATTGGAAACTGCAGACAGAGCCTTGGAGAAAAATGGTCTACGGTGGTTGTTCACCCACCTTCCATATACACATACTCCGCTCCAGTTACAGGGGCCAGGAACTAAGTCAGGTCCTGCCGGTCAAGGGTCCTGGGCTCTCCACCCTTAGGGAGCAGGAATGGGCATGTCCAGGAGGAGTGGGGACAACACAGACTGTTCCACTATTTCGCATATTGTCACTTCGGTACCACAAAATGTATAAAGTGGATGGACTTTTTGGAAAAAAAAATTAAAAAATAA